TTTTTATATTTGTTTTCTTTTGACAAAAAAACGACAGAACTTTTTTGGTTACCTGATAGTTACATTTTGAGATTGAGTTGTTATATTTCAACACTTCTGAATTAGAGCTTCATTTGCATAATTTTGTAGTAAGATTTGAATGTTGAATAGAATGCATTCCACTAATTAATATCTTAGTCATATTTAAATCCTAAATACTTTTCTGTATATATTTTTGTAAATAGATGTTGGAAAATACCCAAGTTAAGCAAAACCATTCCTTGTAAGCATGTGTAGTATGCAAATTAGCAATATATAAAAGAACATTGCCAGACTGGTACAGTAAGCTAGCCTTTACCTCTGCTAGTCACTGAGTCACAGTGGAATTGTAAGTTATCAGTGTTGATTAAGGATTTTTCTTCTTCTGGGATCTTTCCTGTAATCAGGTTGTGATTTTAGATTTTGGAATAATTGTAATTTGTAATTTTTGTTAATAATAATAATGTAATTACTGGATTGAAATTGTAACATTTGAGCTTTATAATAATTGTTTTTGTTGTTGTAATATAGTTTTGTTTTAAGTCAGAAAGTTCAGCACTGGCATTTTTAGTTTAGTTTAATAAAGATTTTTATTTTTTAATGAACTCTAGTGCAAGGTTTTTCTAGTTTATGTTTTGGATTTTGCAATAATAATCTTAATATTTAAATTATTATATATATATATATCAGTGGTACCTCCAGTATACGCCTGCTTTAGAATACGTCCAATTCAGAATACATCCTGTTTGGATGAAACAAATTTTGCTCGGTATACAACTTAATTCAATTATACGCACCATCTATGAGCAAGTAGCAATATCAGTGTACTAGACCAGACTAGACATTCGCGGTGCCACGGTTTATAACTTTGTTAAATTTCTTCTGATTTTAATTTGTATGTAAAATTTTATTATTTTTATTAATCGTGAATTGCAGAAAGGCAAATGAAAAGCAACAGAAAACAAAAAAAAAATGACTAAAATCACAACGGAACTGATAAAGGAGATTGTTGAGAAATATGAAGGTGGCATGCATGTTCGAGATTTTAACTGTTGCATACCGTATTCCGAGAACGATGATATCGACAATCGTGAAAAATAAAGACATTATTAAATCTGATAACGTTGCCAAAGGGGTTAAATCAATTTCTAAACAGAGATCAAAGAATTAGATCATGTTGAGAAATTGCTTTTGCTTTGGATAACTGAAAAACAATGTGCTGGAGGCAGCATATCAGAAGCAATTATTTGCAAGAAAGCTAAAAAGATACATGCTGATCTCATGAAAAATCAAGCAGGAACTATTCAGGAAAGTGAGATGTTTAAAGCCAGCCATTTTTTTTACATGAGAACGGATTAATCATTTTTACATTACTTCTTATGGGAAAGGTTGGTTTGGTATACGTCCAATTCAGTATAAGTCCAAACATCAAGAACAGATTAAGGTCGTATACTGAGGTTCCACTGTATATGAAAAATTAATTATACAGATGTCATCTAATTTGGACTAAAGATTGTAGCATAACCACAAATCTTTAGTACAAATTATGAAATATTTGTGTATTTAAATTAGTCAAACTCTAATACAATAATTAATCTTGTTTTATCATTTAATTATTAGTATAATTAGTATAAGATAAAGTAAAAAATTAAATTAGAAAAGAATAATAGTTTCAATTTGAGAATAAAAGTATTTGATAGAAAGCACTCATTATTTTGAAGTAAAGGTCATTACCTTTATTTCAAAATAATGTGTGCTTTCTATCAAATGCTTTTGCCAACAACCTATACTTTCTTGTATGGTCATTGGCCAGTTTTTGGATATCTATTGGATAGCTTCTAGTGCAGCACTTTCAACTTCTTGTAATAACCAGGGCTGTGGAGTCGGAGTCAAAGTCGGAGTCGTCAAAAAATCCACCGACTCCGACTCCCTTTTTACTTAACAACTTGTTATGTATATGAAACAGAGTCGGAGTCAGACGGTAAGGAAAAGTTGGAGTCGGTAGATTTTTACGCGACTCCACAGCCCTGGTAATAACTGAAATTCCCTCAGATGCTTCTTTAACCTTGGGAGATGATGAAAATCTGCTGCAGTCGTCAGGGAAGAGGGCAGCTATGAGAACACAGAAATACCATTTTTAGGCAGGTATTGTTGGGTACATTCTATGTGCCACATACATAACAAATGGCTCACTACATGTGTAATGTATCCTGAGATTATCATGGAGGATCCTGTATATGGATCCATGTGATATACCTAGTGTCAGCTAGATTGTTTATTGATTGCCAATAGTCTTGTCAAACTTTCTTCTAAACAATAACTTTATTATGCACAGATACTGGTCTGCCTGGATGTGGATCACTTCCATATTTTCTTTGAATGTCTTGTATCATTTGTACACTGTGTCTTCATTGATGTAGTGTCTTCACCATAAACTATTCTTAATATTTTTAGAGTTTTGCTACTAGATATCCCACAAACTTACAGCAAAATTTAATGTTAATCCATTGTCACATTTTCAATGTTTCAAATTTTGTAAGCAGTCATCTGACACTATTTTTACTATGGTAGAATTCTTATTTCACAGTAAATCTACTTAGCAAAGCTTGTCAAACATGTTATTACATTAATAATAATAGTCTTTGTGATTTTTGTGACAGATATGCTGAATGCTAAATTTTACAGGTTACTCAACTTATGAATTATCAACGTTTAGACTTATGAATGATTTGAACATATATCTAAAATTTAAATTTTCTGCAGATTGTGGAGTTCTCTTGCCACTCATGGGGTGGTGTTAGACAATTTTGGCCAGTAATAAATAATAAATTTTTAATAAATAGTTAATATTGGCTTATTTCTATTGCATATTGTTATTTTTTTTGTTTTTGCACAAATCCTGAATGATCTATTTCCTTTCATAAGGTGGTGTTGAAGTCAGTAATGTTAGAGTAACAATGTTTTTCACTATTGTTTGCAATTTTTATAAACTTTTATGATTATTGCTTCAAAAATGTGTCCAAAACATACTAGTAAATCTAGCAGTAGAGATAAATGCAAGAAGTGTGGCTATTACAAGCTCCACAAAGTTTCTTGTTAAAATAATAGGACCCACTTCTCAAGCATTTCTGAAAAACAGGCCTTTAAAAATCATTTGAAGCTGTTTGTGTTTAGGGCCACAAGTTCACCAAGTTTCGTTTTAATCAGAAACCTGAATATCTGGCTCTCTCCATAAGTATGTTAGGGTACATCCTACATGGCAGCGTCCAGCAACAGTGAGCGTGCTTCCAAGTGGAATGAACAAACTGGTTCAAGCAAATGTGCGTGTCCGGAGTAACCACATTTAGCATGCAGTGACCATCAGATGATGCTTCTACACGTGCATGCAGGAAGCAGCTACTAAGCAACTTTAATCACTGCTTCCAAAGAAAAAAATTGCTGAATTTGTAGATGAATGAAAACAGAATGACAAATAAATTGTGTATATGTTGTATGTACTGTACTTTAATTAATAATCTTTTACAAAATCAGAAATCATTAAATTATGTTAAAAAGTTTTATTTTTAAAACATTACATTAAAATTTATTATTCTATGAAGATTCTTTATATTTGTTGTGTATCTAGTTAGTGAACAATTACCCATCAAATTTACCATTTTAACGCTTGTCATATTTTCCGTAGCAAGCATTTGATGAAGTCATCTTGCCACCATTTTGTAAACAACATACGAGAGACTTCTGTCCAGAGTGGACTTGAGTTGGACACACGTACAAAGATTCTTTCCGCTCATGATTGCTGGGTGCTGCCACATAGGATGTACCCTTAATGTTTCGAATGTAGATTTTTTCACTAACTAGTAAGCAGTAACAATTGGGTAAATGAGCATAATGTATTCTACTAAGGAGATTGAAGAATAAACCACTAACAATAAGTGGTTATTCTGTGTACAAATGTACTTTGTAGGTTAGTTTTGACTTGGAAGTCTAACATCTTCATAAGTAGGGGAACACCTATATTAAACTCCATGTACTGAACAAGAAACTGAAACCAGAATTTGCCTATCAAATCAGAATTTTGAATTATAAGTTACAAATGTTATATAACATATTCTTTTGTTGGTGTTGATCAATGCTGTTGAGGACTTTTCCACCTCCAAGATTGGTGAAATAATTGATTTTGTAGTGTGTGTGAACTGTAAATAGTTTACATATCAGTGTGTATGCTTCTAGCTCAGGATAAAGAAAATGAAGTGGGTTATACATGTCATCCATAATAAAATGGCAATGGTGTACTTATGCCAATTTTTCAGATATATTTTGTTATGTATGTGGCAAATCCAGTGCAATCAATTACAGCTAATTTCATTGGTATGGAATATGGATTATATTCTTCATGTTAAATCTTCCTATTGCTGAAGAACATGTCACAAAAGTAGGCACAAGCTCAAAAAGATTTGCTATGCAACATTAGCTACTAATTTGTAAAGTAACTGACCATTGAAATGCTAGAAGACAGTCTGAATTGATCAACTATTATTAGGTATTATTTTTGTGAATTCTTCACTGCATTTATTTTCATTTATATGTAGCATCTCACATTATACTTGTATGGTGGAGTATATAGTAACTTGAAAACTGTTGTGGAAAAAATAATGGCATTTTTGGAATGAGTATATTTAAATTAGTGTAAATTACTGTCTCATCTCTGTTGTTAAAAATTTTTCAATTTTGAAGATTGGTATAATTGAATGGTAACACCGTATTATGGGCTAATAAATTATACAGGATAAGAAGAGGAAAATAAGTTTGAGATGTTTTGACATGTTTGTGATACTGAATTTAAAGAGAATTGTGGCTAATTTAATTTTTCTTTTTATTAAGATGAAATTATCATAAAATTCATTAAATATTTTAAATCATTTTCATTAACATAATTCTAATTTATAGATTATGCATATTAATATTTTTTCTTTAATTTTTAGGATGAGGGTAAAAAAGTTACCAATGATTCTGGCACTCCATTTAAAACGATTCAAATACATGGAGCAACAGAACAGGCATACTAAGTTATCGTATCGTGTAGTATTTCCACTTGAACTTCGCTTGTTTAATACTGTAAGTTTCTCAAAATACTTTGAATTTGTTTTTAAATATAATTTTGTAATAAATATACCATAAAGAATTGATTTATTCAAGTTATCAAATTTGAATGTAACCAAAAGAGTTTCAATCATATATCAGTATTAATGATAACAGATATTTCATATACAAATATAGTATGACAGCAGATTTGGTTGATAGTTTCAATTATTCTATGACTAGTAGCCTGAGATGCCCCCTAGTGTGCGTTCTTTACAAATTCCCATGAGGCACGGTTCCTTTGACTTTTTTGTTCCTATCAATATGCTCTACAGCTCTGTTAAAGTCCCAATCGTGTCATACGGATCTAGATTTCTAACTATTAAACATTCTATAAATACTTTAAAATAGTTTAATTTGTTTATTTACCTTTGCTTGTAAACCTCGATTTTAAATGTATCTGCCATTTTTTCAACAAATTTCCCATGAGTCAATGTGTGATGTTCACTGACTTGTGAGTGACGGGATATTGTAAATGTGCTGCACAAGGTTAATCATGGCATATAATAATTGTTTATACCATTCCATGGTATAAATAATATATTCATTTCAATAATAAATTCCTATTACAAATAAAAATAATTTACTGTTAATTTAAAATCATCTCTAGGGCGCCTCTAGTGTCTGTTTTTGGCATACTGTTATGAGGACGAACACGCGTTCAATGGGTTATATAGATAATTATTTCCATATCAGTAATGAGCAGTTATCTGAGAACTTAAAACAAATGCATAATTGAATCTCCAATTTTTAAACTTTCTTAAATCCTACTTTATTGGAGAATATACTCTTATTTATTATTAACTTAAATTTTCCTAGTAAAACTATGCAAACAATTTCACTTCATTGTTTATATATGATTTGAACCTAATATCATTGTGTCTTTAAAACAATATGAACCTATTAATGTCAATTTTGATATTATTTAACTAAAACATTCTTTAATATCCATTATGATATTAATTTTGTTTATATTATAAATTTTTATTTCATTCCTAAGTTTGTTTGTCAGAAACCTGCTTCTTGATATATTGACTTTATCTTTGACAGGTTCTAACTAATACAAATTAATAAAAAGTATAACACATGGATTTGAGATATGAACAAAAAGCTATCTTTAGACAGGATATTTTGTGGAAAAAATTGACTGTAATGCCAAAATGTAAAATCTAGAAAATTGCAGACAAGTTTCCATCATAGGGAAGTTCTACTTTTCACAAGATTTAGTGTATATTGTTTGTTATATCTGTTTTTAGCATGCTCCACTGTAGTGGTGAAGTGCTTACGTTAGGACTTTTGTCTGTTTGTCAGATGTCCACGTGCATGTGCAATGACTTCACTTTTGTTGCCTAAGTGTTATGTTCCATTCAATCCATTTATTGTGCATGTCCATGCGCATGTGCAACAACTACTTGATTCCAAGAATTTATAAAATTAATATTTGATTCACATTTGTGGAGCATGCTATCAATTGGCTTGACCAAGCTTATTTCAGTCTAATGTAAATTATTGAACTTATAAGAAATCTTAGATTGTATTTAGTATTGTAGTAAAAAAAATAAGAAATTCTGATTGGAACTAAAAACACACTGTATTGAATAGTTTTGCTTGTCAAAAGAAATCATAAATATACAAACAAATTTATTATTATTGTGTGTGTAAATATATTGAGTTCTTTCATAGTTATGACCAAGAGTTTTTTACATTGCCATTTGTGCTCTAAATTATTTGATTTATTCATATCTGAAGATAATCTGATAAATTAAATCATTCAGAAAACTTTTGCATTATTATAAAAAAATGAGCTTCAATAATAGAATATTAAGTTTCAAAGCACCTATCTCTCTTTTTTTTCTAGCAGACTTTTATTAAATCAAATGAACTAATGTTTCAGCTACAGTAATACCTCAACTTACGCGAACCCGGAGTTACGCGATTTTCAAATCTCGTTGATCCGTCTTTTGTTTGAGCGCCACGCAACTCTCAATTACTCACTCCCCCACATTATTGTTCAGCTTACATGTTTGGACGTGTTGCACGGAATCAACACATAGCTACAATTTATTTTGTGTTATTTATTTCTGTGTTTTTATATCTATGGAGACTTGAGAGAATCTATGTGGTGATTTCTTGTAACCATGAATGAATCAAAAGATGAGATAAGATTAATGAGAACATTTATTAGCTTATATACAACCGACTTGGATTTTACACAAATTGCAAAATTATACCCCGACTTATGCGAATTTGACTTACGTGGTTATCGCTCGGTCCCACCTATCGTGTAAGTTTGGGGTAATACTGTATTTTAAATGGCGTCCTTCAGGTTAAGCATAATTGGAACATTAGTTAGAACATTAATTTGAAACATCCAGCTTTGCTCGTATTCTTACGACATCACAGTATTATAACATTTGGAATTCTTAAACTGATGTTTATTTTATTTAAATTGTATAAAACAAGATACAATTGTACATTAAACTTAAACCTAGTGAAAAGCAAAAATAAATATCAAACAAACATCAAATGGAATTACAAATATATGTTAAATTTAATATACTTTGTAAATTATATGAAGAAATAAATAACTAGATATCTGCAATAATTATTTACTAATTTATAAACATGTCTTTACAAAGTCACATATCTTATAAGAATGAGAAGATGGATAAATTAACCCACTTCAAGGGATTATCTAGGAGCGATTGCCAAGCTGTAGATAACAAGTCAGTATCCTTACTGTTAATGCAAGTCCCTTTAAGAGATTTTGTGAATATTTCTAAGGTTTCTAGTGTTCTTAGTTTGAAATTGTGATATATTGGTGTTATAATCTTAGCTTCTTCCCATTTGGCTGTTATGCCATTGAAAGCCAGCAAAATTCTATCCATATCTAGCTTAGATTGCCAAAGAATAATAATGTCATTGACGAAACGTGTATATAATAGAAAACTTCATTTCAGAAATTATAAGATCTGGCTCTCTAATTTTCTAACTAATAACTTTCACTCAAGTCTCCAGATAGGGGACTTGAGTGAAATCAGACATGGGATCATCCATTGGAACCCCTCTCTTTTGAAGATAGGTTTGCTCGTTGAAAATAAAAATGATGTATAGCACATTAGACGAGCTATCTCCTAATCTGCTGTTTGGGCCTAGATGGCACTGCCTGAAATAGGAAGTCTCTCAGGACAAAAAAATACAATTCCAATTTAATCAAAGGGTACATTGTAAGTATGTTACAGTTCTTCTTGATTTTGAAGCAATTTATTAAAGTAAGACCTTCCAATTTAGCAATGAGTTCTCCAGTGTTCAAAATGATGTAGTTATATTCTCTTAAATGGTCTATTAGGAGCTCACGCAAACCCTTTTCAATGGCTAAAGTTAGGAATCTCAATAAATTTAATGTATAATTGTAACTTTAAATAAATAAATACAGAAATAAACATTTATTTTATTTCAATTTTTTGTACAACCATGACCTCATAAGAATGTGAATGAAGCTGGATGTTTCAAATTTATGTTCTAACTGACATTACAATTATGCTTAACCTGAAGGCGGCCATTTAAGATAGCTGAAAATGTTAGCTCATTGATTTAATTTAAAAATTTGCTAGAAAAAAAGAGAATGAGCTCCATCTGAAGTTTCAAAACCTTACATTTTAAATTAAAAATTATTGTTACAGTGCCAGGCTGCAATTTTTTTAATGTCACAATAAATAATTGCTCATTAATGTTGGAAAGTTTTAGTTTTTTTATAGTGAGTATGTAATAAAGTATAAAACATGTAAAATGTTAAACCAGTGCTTCTCAAACTTTTCGGATCATCACTCCTCCTTGGTGTGGCTGTTAGAATAGGGAGCATTACTACTGTGTACAGTACATGAGCCTTTGCCCCTGTGTACACAGGCAGGATAGGAGATGATAGATTCTGTTGCCTCCTATCCTCTTGGATAATTCAAATGTGCCCCAGAGAGCGATATCGCACATTTTGAGAAGCACTGTGTTTAAACAAAAGAAAAAGACATTCAGTAAACATGAATTTTTGTAAGTAGTTTTATAGCAGTAAGTGTCACGGAACAATATAAGCTTGAATTTTTTGTTGGCTGAAAATATATGGAAGTGCAAATTTGATTTGCAAAAAGCAAGTATAAAGTAGCATATATGAAAAAGTGGGGATTTTTTATTTTGAAAACCTGATGTCCGGAGGTCAAAGGTTGCCTGTAATGAAAATTTTTTTTAATATCACTTAGAAATATTCATTTATTAAAACACAAATTAAAAATTTACGGTTATCAAATAAAATCTTTCTATTTTAGTCCGATGATGCATACAATCCAGACAGATTGTATGACCTAGTAGCAGTGGTTATACATTGCGGAAGCGGGCCAAATAGGGGACATTATATTTCCATTGTAAAAAGCCATGGTCTATGGTTGTTGTTCGACGACGATATCGTAGATGTAAGTATATATTTTATTCATTTTATAACTGCCTCATTGGAAGATTTGGGATAAATCAAACTTTCTGATATTTGTATGTGATTATTATTTAAAACAACAAATTTCAGAAAATCGACGCTTCAGCAATTGAAGACTTCTACGGTCTAACAACCGATACTCAGAAGACTTCGGAATCGGGTTATATATTATTCTACCAGTCAAGAGAATAACATAATTTGAAATTTAAAAAATTCAGGGATACACTAAAGTCTATTGTATGTAGTTTTCCTTATACTAGATGCAATGGATTATGTTGTACGATTGCCACCAAATGAAAATAAGGACTCTATGTATTAATATGTATATTTATTGTCAAATTGGTATTGATCTGCAAGCAGAATGAAATAGTTGGGAAGATTAGATCTTCAAAAGTGCGATGCGAAGAAGATATTGTAGATATAAGGTGCTAAAAACACAATGTAAATTTTCTGTAGGTGTGGTAGGAATAATTGTTAACTCCAGTGAGATTTCTATTTTATGGAATAAAATATTGCACTACTTTTGTCTGAGTTACATCTCAGATAAATTTTTTGGCTTTACGCCATTTAAATATCAATCATATCTGGACAATACGAGTGATGCAGTTTTAGAGATAGTTCATTTCTCTCTCCTTTAACGTAGAATGATGGCACAAAGACCAAATCAGCAATAAGGATAATAAAATAAACGGGACGACGATCGATAAAATAAGAGTGATAAAGTCCAAAGCAGAAATAATTGTGCCACCTTTAAAAGCCAGTATTTATTTATTATTAACTTTTGCTTTAATATATTAAACATTTTTAATTATGTTTAAGAATTGTACATCGATCGGTAATTTTCTGTTTTAATACCAATTACCATTTCTTCTCCCTGTATTCTGTAAGAAATTCAATATAGGAATGTTGCCATTTATTTAAGGAGATTAGAATTTTGTAATTTTGAAATCTCATTACTACTTTATTATTTTTTTAACATGTTGTTTATATATACATATATATGTAGTAAGAATAATGCAATTATTCTTTTTAACTCAGCTGGATTTAATAAGTATTTTTAGTTATATTGCATTTATTTGTCTACTTGTTTGATTAGTCTGAAAGACTTATCCATAAGAGGAATTTTTGGATTAATTAAATAATTATTTATATTCAGCTCACAATGTTAAATGTTTCGAAGTTAATAATCGTACATTCCAAATTTTGTCCGATCGACGTGACGACAATCAAAACGTTGAGCTGGTGTAAAAATATTGGTGGCTCAGTTATCTTGACGCATTGTATAGTCTGCAAAACATTTACGATGTTTTAAAATTCTCGGAATTACGGCAAATAATTATAAATTGTGTAAAAGTACTTTCTCGGAAGGTGAACAAAAGGGGTCGAAAGTTATCGCCTGTCATCTAGTCTGTGATATTTTGTAAATAGAAACTTTTGACTAGATGCAGGATTTAAGTCGATCGTTGCCATAAATGTCGATCGACTTCTTCATCGATGTAATTGTAAAGAAATATGGGATATAATAATAATTTGCTCGAAATAAAGCACTGAAAAACTTAACAAATCATTGTTTTTGTGTTAATAAATAGAAATGTAAAAATATTTAAAAATAAAATGAGCAAGAATACGGAGTTAAAAATAAGTTTTTTATAAAATTGTCTTGTGATCGATTAAGTTTCATATTTGAACAGATCTCAAAATATTAGTAATCATAAAATAACTAATTATTTGATTGACATTGAAATGCTTCATTATGAAGATAATTGTTTTTTAATGATTGTAAAGACTAAAATAAGTTTGTATCTGTTCATTAATTTCCTAGAATATCAATCAAATAAAATTAATTAGCATAAAAGTTATCATCATTTAAGATTTCTGATTTTCATCTATTACTATATAAGAATATTTTACTTTAGGATGTTTCTGTCCACGGGTCATTTAGGGACGTTTTAAATCATGTCCATCGGGGTTTGGCCCACTTACAGTGAGGAGTACAGTGGCTAGAAAATATAGTGTCGAAATCGAGCTTATTTTCTGTCCCTATATTGGAGGTTGCCGCAAGAGGCGCTGCTGTCAATCGTTGTGCTACACTGGCTGTATCATCCTATGTTTATATTGGTTTTAAGTGGGATTTTTAAGCATAGTAAATGTGCTGTAGCCAAGTAAAAGAATTTAGATCGATAATAAATCATATCACTAGCAATCAATTATTATATAGTATTACTTTATTAACATTTATGAAGGAATTCATTTTATTAAAGCTAATTAAGATTCTTATTAAATCAAATAGCCTACACTGTATTGTCTATTTTTACATTACAGCTGTTGAGTGCTGTACAAACAAGTATTATTTAGAGTACAAGAGTAATCTACTCTTGTTATTACCTTATTAACAACAAGGTTTATTCATATTTACTAAAAAAATACAGAATTTATCATATTTTTAATAATAAAATGTAAGTTTTATATGGCTTTGTGAACCTCTTCCACTGTGAGGGCCTAAAATAGAATTTATTAAGCAAATGCCATCAGTTACATAATACTGTATACTGTTCACAGTATTATGTGACATAGTATAAAGCAATATTAAAATTACAATTAAATTCTACACAGTATATAAAATATAAAGGCAGAATGTTACTTTATTGTCCCAATATAAAATTACAAAATTAAGTATGTACAAATAAACGATTATTAGTCTACTGCCAAGTACCCATGCATATACACTTTATATTTGAAAAATCTCTCTTAAAAAATTACAGATTAATATGCATGTAGATTTCTCACCCTTTTCGACAAAAATAAAAGAATTAAAAATTACAGTAGAGTAATATCTATAAATTAGAAATACACAAGTCAGTAAAGTTTCTGTTCAGCCATTTCCTAAGGATTTATTCACTTTACAAGCACAAATTTAATCGCTTTCGATGTTCTTGTAAGAAAGGATATCACGTAGCCAAAGCGAAAGTAGCACTACGATTGACATCAGCGCCACCTTGTCTGTGACGTCACTAACCTCGATGTATGGACCGAACGGTTATAATGGAGGAATATAAGCGCTTTCGACACTATATTTTCTAGCCACTGTAGTGAGGAGGTTGGGTGATAGAGACCCAACATGGCATTCGCTAGTCCTCCCTCTATAAAGAATTCCACAGAACCAGGACTGTTTTTGAAATCTATCATTACTCATACATGTGTGTTCAACTTGTGGTTGTCTCCTTACTGTATTTGCATGTGCCAATGGGTGTCGATTAGTTTTTGTTAAAAATATGACAACACTATTTGCTCAATGCAACAGTGATGCTGAAGCGGAAGCTGCATGGATCCTAGTCGTCATGTTATAACAATAAACTTAGTAATAATAGTAATTGATATTCATGTATATTCTATTCTTATTCCTATGCATTATACATAATTAACAATTGTCTGTATAAACTGTTTTCCAGTCAGGCTTACATCTATGGTCCCAAGAGAAACTGGAAACCTACAAATAATTCTTGTTTCTGTGAAGTTCATTTTGAACCACAAATGTGGGAAAAAGTGAGAATTGATGGGAAGAAGAAATTAAAGCATAATGCCATTCCAAAATAATTGTTTTCATTCATAAAACAAATTATTCACAGAAAACCATCAAAAGGAAGATCCTCAACTGTTATAAAAGAAGTAAAAACTGCAAAAGTTACTTCTCCAGTACATACTACTCATACTACTGTTACACCATCAACAGATTTTGAAACATCTTCAACATTTATACCACATTAGCTGAAGACATTTCTGTAAATCATGATACATTATCTAAAGAACATACAAAAGCAGGGATGGCCAACATACTGCCTGCAGGCTGGATCTGGCCCATCTAATGATTTTATGTGGCCCGCGTTTCATCTTTCAATATTAGCTACTCAAGTAGGAATAGCTCAATGAAAAATTCTGATGCCTAAAAAGAAAAAAAAGGTCAGCAACTCACTGTATGTTTAGAGTTAACCCTCCATTACAAATCTCTTGAGTACAGCATAAAATGTTGATAAAGCATGATAATGTGAAAAATGTCTGTAATCTCTATGTACAATTTAGTCTCTACGGGGTGACACCACAATGAGATCTCGCACCACCTCAAAATCTTCTAGGGCAGACTCTGGTTCAGCCCGTGCAAAAAGTTCTTTCCAATTCGGCCTGGGGGCAAAAATTGTTGGACACCCCTGTACAAAAGATAAGGTGTGTTTCAAATTTATATGGACACGAAAAAATTAAAGTGAAATCCAAATTTGCTGCATATTTATCCGGACAGGTTTCAAATTGCATTTTCTTACAATTTAATGGCCAATGTAATCACCATTTAACTTAATTACATTAAATACTTGATTAGGCATTGTTTCAATTAGATTCTGAAGGAATTCAATCTTAAGTTTATCCCAAGCATCTGAAATTGCTGCCTTCAAATCATGAATTGTGGAAAACTGCTTTCCATTGGCATAAACTGTACGAACCATCATCCCCCAAAGATTTTCCATCGGATTCAGGTCAGGGCTTCTAGCAGGCCATGTCATCAGATTAATATTTTTACGTTTAAACCACATTTTTGTTGATTTAGAGGCATGCACAGGGGCATTGTCTTGTTGAAAGATCCAATTTGGTCCACAAATATTTGGTCCAGCTTCCAATAAATGATCTTCAAGCATGCCTTGATACTTCTTTGAATTCATTCTTTGAGTTATAAATGCTAAATCTGTGGTTCCGTTGAATCCAAACGCACCCCACACCATTATTGATCCCCCACCCATTTGGCGTTTTGAAAATATTTGTTTTTCGGTTCTTAAATCGTGCCAATAATACTTCCAACCGTCTGGACCATCTAAGTTGAATTTTTTTTCATCACTGAACAAAACTTCAATCCATTCTTCGGACCATGTCATGTGTTTTTGTGCCCAATCAAGTCTGTCACTTTTGTGCTTTAATGAAAGTGGTGGCATTACAGCTTTTTTTCTGAATTTTAACATTGGAGATTTATTTAAAACTCTCCACACTGTTGTGCTGCTACAAGGCAAGTCTAATTCTTGTTTTATTTTTCTTACTGATGTTTGTTTTGTGGAGCAAACCTTGATGATTTGTCTACAATCTCGAGGAGTAAGCTTGGGTTTTGGACCTGTCTTGAATTTTGGTACATCCTTGCCACGTCTTTTTGATAAATAATCACCAACAGTTGATTTTGGACGATTTATATATGCTGCAATTTCTCTTATTGACTTGCCTTGTGATTTATAGGCATCAATCTTCCCTTTTTCATAATCAGATAAATTCTTTGTTCTACCCATTTTAGAACGTTGAACAACGTAAAGAATTTGTATTACAATTAGATATGTAAGCTAATTTGCATATTTCAATGCTTGAAACTAAACAATATTCTGTTTAAGTCATAAAATGAGAGCCTGTCCGGATAAATATGTAACAGTTTTTTTGTATAAGATTTTCAGAATTATTATTTTCAGTGACAAAATATTAATGTTTGATTAAAATTCTTATTTGCAGTGTAGAAACATGTAAATCCATATTATTTTTAATAAAACATTTGTCACTTAATGCAGCAAATTTGTGTTTCACTTTAATTTTTTCGTGTCCGTATAAATTTGAAACACAGCTTATATTTATATTACAACAGAATTTTAAAAAATATAAACAACTATATAAAAGATCATGTGAAAAAATGTTAAACATGTAAACACTATCAGAACATTGAAACATGGAATTGGAATAGGAAGTAAAAAAGGCTAAAGATAATAAATCATATTAATTCTTATCATTAATTCTAATAATGACCAAATATCTGCCACGAAAAGAAAAACCAAATTTATGAAATGGTCAAAGAAAACTATTCAAAAAGCTTTGAAATTTAAGATTTTCTTGTGGAACTAGTGGATATGATGAGTTAATAGTGAGGTTGAGGCTGAAGTTTTAAACGCGAACACATCTACATCGGACATTCAGCGCCACTTTCCTGTAAGCCTAGAAGTTTGACAATGGTGTTTGGAATGTCAAGCATGATTCCACTGACTAATCCAAACACCATTGTCAAACTTCTAGGCTTACAGGAAAGTGGCGCTTAATGTACGACGTACACATTTTCATGTTTCGGCCTCAACCTCGCTATTAAAACAAAACATTCCATTACCTTCAATCAGAACTTTACAAAGATGATTACAAAATTTAAAATTTGAAAGTGGGATCCTAACAGAAGTCATTGAATTTTTAAAGATTAAAGTGAAATTATTCAAAAATGAGCAGGATAAAGATTGTGTCATTTTGTTAGATGAAATGGCAATAATTCAAAAATGTTTGATAGCAGTAGTAACACATAAATTGGTGATGTCACTTTATCTGGACATTCTGGGACTGCAACTCGTGTATTTGTGATTATGCTAGGGGGATTACTTTACAATGGAAACAAGTTGTAGCTTACTATTTCACAGGTAATTCTGTAGATGGAAATTTATATGAAAATATATTATTTGAAATAATTACTTGTGTTGGACAATTAGGTTTAAATGTTGTTAGCATTACATCAGACATGGGATCATCCAACAAAGCATTATGGAAAAACTCCAAAAGCATTATGGAACGTCACAGCGAAACACTTAAATTCCATAAAGCATCC